ATTGAATAGTAGTATTATTGTTAGATATTAAATTTAATACCAGTGCTTCAAGTCTACTTCTCATATTCCGTATAATTATAATGTGTTTTTGACTTACTCTGAACCTAGTCCCGGACCAGAACTTTCCCAGTTTTCAAAGTGCTCATGTGAATGTGGTACTCCATATGTTTCATGTATGGGTGCGCCATGCAAATAAGTTGATATGTGCCCTTTAGGTGGATGACTGTATATTATTTCTGGTATAGGACTAGTTTCTGCATTATGCCAAGAAGGAACAACCTGCAGTAAAATAGAAAAGTTTAAAATGTGATAAAATTCTTTAAGTAAACAATTAATATCTTTTAATTAATAATCTTTAAAACACATTAACAAGTGTAATGAAAAATAATTATTTTAATTATAGAATAATTTTCTTGAATTCAGTTTAACATCCTTTGTATCAACAAAATTTAATTAAAACTTTTCCTCTACAATATCTCGTAATTGTTGTGGTTCTTATCACTAAAAACACTTTTATGATATCTACTTTAGGTAAATTATCATTTTAAAATAGAGAAAAGAAAATTATGCTCGTATTATAATAACTGTATTTTCCTTCGACTGTTCTGAACATATTTTCCTTACTTCAATTACTTTGGGAAACTTTTCATTGTCTTCCTTCACTGATTTTCATTCTCTTAATGTAATGCAATTTTATATGGAATTGCGCAGTTTTTTGGTTTGTTTGAGTTTCAAATCGACATGATTACACATGACATCCCTATTCCCTGATACTTCTTCGAACAGGGAAGAAGTATCAGAAGGGTTTCTGTTTGTTGTTCCCGAGTGTGTATTTTTAACTCAGTTGTGCGAATTTCATCTTGAGCTTTTATTTATCTATTTATCTTTTGCAGACTATTAAAATTCTAAATACAAAATACTGTGTTTTTGCAAAATGAGCAGTATATGTCCTTCTTAGAATTTAAATATCTTTTATTTAAATTTTGCAGTCTCTCAACGTACGCACGACGGGACTTTTACACTTCTTTCGATTGTTTGTCAAAGCAACTGGATTGATAGGATTTGGATATTTTACAAAAGAAATATTTTAAGATGAAAGTATTGAGACATTTTTGCTACTTATCTTGCTGTGCATTCTAAGTGGTATTTATGGGCCAAAGCATGTTGACCTTCTTAAAGTTGAATGACTTTTAAATTGTCCTAAAAATAAGATTTAAATTGCTTTTTCTTTATTTCTATTTATTTAAACTATTATTGATTTTTTTAGCTTATTAGTATATAACAACCATTATTTGTATTCAAGAAATACATATATTTGTGATATTCTTCTGAAAAATATCCAATTACTATTATCCTTATTCTTATTAGTTTATTTATATTCAACAGTATGAAATTTATCTGTAGTATGAAAATAACTTCTTATTATTTTTATTTTCCACACTCAGATATAAATTAAATTACTTGACCTGTGAGATGAGCGTGTGTATTTCATTCAGATTTTAATATCACAGATAAATGGATTTCAATTACGTTCACAAGTGTCGAGTATGTTTGACAGCAACGCTGTCTGTACTCGTATGAACTCAGAACATGGATGAGATTCTCAAATGCGTGAAGGATACAAAGGAATGTTATATTTTTTAACTCGAGAAAAAAGGAAAAATACACAGGAAGAATTTACTTAAAGCATTTTCAATTCAGAAAATTTAAGAAATGAGTTAAAATGTAACTAAATAAAGAATTATTACGGAACAATGAGTATAAACTTCATTATTAAAAAAAGTAAATTTAAACATTAAATTAAAAAATAATAAAAAATTATTATTGTACTGCTAAAAATGATAAAAAATATTTGAAAGTAACAAGAAAGAAGATCCATTAAACAGAAAGTACTGTAAAGTATCTATGAGGCCCTATGCTGCAGTAGGAGAGAAGGACTGCAGTAAGTAAGTAAGTATTTTAAAGTACATTTAACAAAGTAAGTGCATTTATTTGAACAGTTCCGGAAATACATCTGGAAAAAAGTGTAGAAAAAGAACATTTAATAAAGTTCTTTCAAAAGTTGTTTCTATCGTTATAATATCTCCTTATATTCGATATTTATTATTTAATGTTGGAGCTTAAGAAATTTAAAAAAACTGTATTCTTTCTTTCAAAAGTAAACTATATTGTTAAATATGAGAACTATATAGCTCATGTCTAAAATATATTAGAAATTAGAAATTAATTAAAAAAAAATTTTTGTCGAACTTAAAAAAAATATATGTAGATTTTGCATATTTTTAATCAGTATAATTTTTAGTGACGTCTACCGATTATATTAGGCCTTTTCTTTTGTAAGCTTATAGCAGAAGAACAACATAAAATAAGCACTACTTTTGATGGCCAGTCTGGACGAACCGAAAATTTTGTTTTAGGTACACATCTTGTGAGCAGCGTAAAATCTATCATAAGATATAATAAAAATAAAATGATTTAGTATATTACTAAGGTTTACTCCGAGGAACTTAAAGATTAGGACAATTGAAATACGAGAAACTTGACTTATAAGTCATATTGACGTGTGGTGTTCTATGATTTACACAGTCAATTTGCCATTTTGATATAATAATTTATAGTCAATTTAGCTCTGCTTAATATTCATTTCTGTAGCAATGATAGTCAGCAAAAAAAGCAAAAAATCAGAACAGTCTTTAAGTATATATTTGCATCCGAATGGATATTGCTGGATGCAAGATTTAAAAATAAATTTAGAATTATAAAAGAAATCATGTTTATTTACTTGCTTGTCGCTTGCAAGAACTTTAGTAAGGCTAGAGTTTCATCTCTGTATCACCAGTTTAGATAATCTTTCTGGTAGAATTAACAGATGGCTGCTAGTGACTCTATGCTAACAAAATATGGAAGAATCTATTCACATATTGATGCTGGTTATCACTTTTTTATATAAAATATATATAAAGTCTACCTCATCAACATTTCCACTTAAAACAAACAATGTTGATCTTATTTTTCCGCTTTGGCTATTGCATTTCATTTCTATCGAAACAGAATTTGTTTTAGGTTGAATTAGTTGTGCCGTAAGAAATCAGTTATTTTGTTCTGACTTATTGAAAAAGTGTATTTCTTTATTGGTGCGAAAATGAAACAGGGTATTTTTGATATACAATAAAGCAGTTCATTCAGTTTCAATATCTACTATTACATGAATAATATAGTAGACTTCATAAGTCGATTGGTAAATCTGGATTCAATCTAGATTTACTCTGGATTTATTACATTATTTTTATCAATGAAACAATTTTAGAGTAATACAGCATTTTTGTACTAGTATTGGTTTATATTCATATTTTTGATAAATACATATATGGAATCAAATCACAATTTATTTGATACGTGATATAGCAGCTGTAAATTTGAGGGTAACCTTGCTACTCTGACAAAAGACTATAGTGTTATAAATTAATCTCGAGTGTTATTTATTTCGCTCTAGATCTACCAATCAAGAGTAAAAATTGAATTAAGAATAAATCTTGATTAGAAAAGCTACACCGATTTATTAATCGAATACAGAATTTATTTATACTTTTGAAAGCCTTTGAATATATATTAAATAATTCGTGCGAGTATTGAGTGTTAGTTTCCTATCTCAGTTTATTGACTGAATAGCACGAATAGTATGAACTGTTTTCGTTCATATGTGGTAATACAAAGTAAATTAATTTCTTCAGGCCTTAACAAGTGTGTAATGAATTCTGTTTATTTTTGATTATTTACACTTTTATAGATGCACATAAAATAATACACAAGTAAAAGTGTGAAAATTATGCTACTTACAGATGTATTTATTTATGTTAGTCTCATATATTTGAATTTGATAAAATGTGTGAAATCTAAGTTGCTGAAACTAAGAAAGCATGTAAAAGTGTGTTTCTAAATTTATAACTCCGTTGTTTTCATTTGACATTTTGTCGTTTACATTTAATAGAAATTAAGTTTAATGGGTAAATAACGTGGGAAGTGAACTTTATTTTGATTTAATTTATTTTAATTTTCATTACGTTTCGACTCTTTTCATATTTGTTTTGTGTTTTGAATTTGGTTTAAAATTAATATCACAAGATATGTACTCGTACTTTTTTCAAAAACTTTCATTTTTTATTTTATTCGTTGACGTCATTAAGGTTTAATTCACTTTTGGAAAATTACACATACGAATGAAACTCTTTCATCTGCCACTTAAGTAGCTTAACTATAATGTCTCGCTCTTAAACACTTCAATTAACTAAGCAATTTTCTTTTAATTTACCATAAATTGCAGTGTAGAAGTACTCACCGTATGATGATGATTGATTAAATGATGATGGTGATGATATTTCGTTGTATGATATGTCTGCTGATAATATGAGCAAAGCTTGAAGAGATGTGATAGCGCCGGAAACAGGAATAGTAAAAATTTCAGTAGCAATTTCTTAGCAGCGCTAACGCCGATCACCAAAGGTAACAGCCAGAATATTTTTATTTTTATGATTTTGACGATTAATAACAAGGCGAGGAATGATAGCATCAATTTACTTTTGAAAAATTTCTCTGAAAAATAATAATACATAGTTTTATTTAAATTAAATATTAAATTAAAATTAAAAAAATTAAAATGAATTCATTAGTGGTTTATTAAGTAATATAATTTAAAGTTCACTAAGAATTAAAAATATGATTTAAGTTATAGTATATTCTGACAGCTAAATTTTCTTAATTTTGTAAAACTGAAATTAAGTTAATTTCGAAACTGTTTATATTGCCCTAAATTAAGGAAATCATACGTTTTTTGTTTACAAATCGAATGTTAAGGTTACATGCTCCAAACACTATTAATATCTGGGAAATTTTAAAAATTGATTATTGTGACTATAAAAGATTAATTCAGTAGTTTTATTAGCTTTAGTGGGTTTCAGGTATTATTTTTCACTATATTTTTTATAAAGAACATTTATAACAATTCTCTATATTCAAATCTAAAAACTTGCACTACTTTCAAAATATATTCCGGTTGTATTAAAATCAACTGTCAATAAATTTTTATATTCCATTTTCCTTAATTTCCTTAAATGTTGTATGGAAAAATTAACTTAATTTCGCTGAAACGAAGACGAAAGTTAGATTTTTGCGTTATTAAGGTGTGTCTGAACATAGTATTACCCGATTTATAATGACTTGATCAGACAGCACTAATAAAGACAGCACTTAAGGCTTTATGTCCCACAAAGACGCCAAGAATTTACATATGTAATAGTATTTGACAGCACTTTTTCAGTATTACAACAGAATTATTACTCATGGTTTTGAGAATATAGTTCAAAATTAGCTATATTACTAAATATATTGTTTAATAACCTTTATATATGCTAAATTTTTAAAAGCATACTACAATACTGCTGATACTAAAGTGACCATATAATCGTTTACTGCATAGATAAAATTGTGAATAAATGGATCGGAAGTAAACATGCTCAAGCCTAGTCTTCACGAAAAAAATTATTAGTCGGGTGATTAAATTGCTGTTGTTATTGTAATGTTTTCGTCGATTAAACACCGAGCACAGTATCTTAAGCCCATTATAACGTATACTACATTTAGATTTGTATCTCCATTCTTACAAAATTCAGTTAATATAAAAACACGAGCCGATGTGTAAAACACATGTATATTCGATACTTGAATAAAAACGATTGAATGATGATGAGCAAATCGAATTTTATTTAGTGATGTATATGATAAATATTTTTGGGTATATGGATACATCAACAAACAAAATTGTTGCATCTGGTCATCTTCAAGTAACTGTCAAAAAACCAGTGCATCTACAAACAGTCAGGGTTTTTTCTGGGGGTAGGAGAGACTTGCCATTTCTAAAAAAGATGATGGTTTGACATAATGAATAAATTTTAATCGCTACATCCATATGAACATCGATTTTTTTATTAAATACAGAAAATCTGGATATGAAAAATATATGATTCCAGCAGCTTGGTACTATTATTCATATAATATCTTAATATGAATGAAAATTAATATATAATAGTTATCTTAATAAAAATAGCATTAATTACAACTTTTATTCAGTTGTCTACAAATCTAAATATGTTTAGAAAATATTGAAAATTTATAATTAAAAAAAAATAAAATTATTGCTCAATTTCAATAAATTAATTAAAATATCTGTTGCTGTCTTTTAATCTCTATTCCCACCCTTCTAACTTTTAAATAGTTTATTTTCGTCATAAGATGTGTCACTTTCGGCAAAAAAAATTAACATAATAAAATTTACTAAAATTGATCAACATTAAAATAATAAAAATAGGGAATTAAATTATAAATAAATTTATAATTTTTATAATTATATGATTTATGTGAAATTATAATTTTGTAAATTATAATTTATTATGAATTCTAGTAAATAAATAACTTAATGTAGATTTGATTTCAAGATCAGCCAGACCACATCTTGGAACCACTTGTCATCGACAAGTATTTAAAATCAGCTAAATGGTGACTCTTATTTGCAAAAAATATAAATCTGATTCAGAGGAGGCTTAGAATGTAAATAGACTATGAATTATCTTTATATAGTTAACAGACTTTATGAAATATTTTTAGCTATCAATTAGGGATTATGACAAGAACTTGTGTTAAGTAATGTCGTTCATATTATTTATAAATTCTTGTCAATTTAATAAAAGTTTGCCACAATAAATGCATGCTATAATTGCCAGTGTTGGGCAATATCACGCAGTATATACAACATTTGCTGGTTCTTTGAGATTATAAAAGTATGTAAATATTACGAAATGTTCACTAAGACTGATGATATGGAGTGCATATTTTGATCATAGTTTCGATGGTGGCAATCGTATTTTCCGCTCTTTGGATTGCCATTTGGAAAATAATTTTCCAAAACGCAAACACAACTATAGTAGATAGTAATAAGTTTCGTGTACTCAAACCAGTGGTACCAGTTTGTAGGTGGGAATTCTTTTGTATTAAAATTTATTTTGTAATTACATGAGTTTATATTTAAAACATTTTTATTTAAAATTTTTGTTTTATAAGAATAAACGATCTTCTTAAATGTCTAGTAGCTTTGCAACTACCGCGTAGTGAAGATATTTCAAAATCATGAGTCTAAAATTTACTTGGTGTGCTTGTGTAAGGCTAACTTGTTTCTATTAGCTAATATCCATAGTTATTTACTTCTATTTGAAAGATTTTACGAGTTGCAGTTTTCGCAGTTGTAGTAAAGTTTAGCAGACAGCACCCACAGAACGCTGTGGCATCTGAAGCTCAACTTAAAACCGATAAAAATTTATATGAATTGAAGTAAGTAATGAATTTATTTTTTTTGATATAATAAATGCTATTATCCTCTTTCAGTATAAAGTTGCCAGATGAAAGCTTTCGAAATGAAATTGCAAAATTACAAGCATCTGAAGGTTCAAAAGAAGATCTATCTGTTACTGGATTTATTAGAATAAATTTTGTGGATACAAATGCAATGGCGAACTGGACATACACTGCGGATAAAAATGGATTTCTTGTTCGCTATATCTACAAGCAGTTAAAGGATACTCAACAACACTTCAGTACTACAACAACAACCTCTCGCCCTACTCCACCCTTACGAACTTATACAACAAGACGACCTCCACAAGCATATGAACCACCAGTATATGATTTAAGTGCTAATGCTTTAAAAAGTTCTGGTGGTTAAGAATATACTCGTAGGATATTGATGTAGTAAGCATCACTTTAAGTTAAGCTTCTCTTAATTTTCTCTTTTATTAGGAAGTCAAAGAAAACGGGGCAAATATGCTGGCGGTTAACGATGTAGTATGCTGATGTATTAAACAACATTTCTTTATTTTCTTACGGGAACTTCGGGATGTCATAACGGTTTTATAACGAAACATTTTGATAATAATAGTTTAGGTAAACTTTAAGTAACTGCATTATAAGTAGCATTGTTTTTAATATAATATATATTCACTTTATTTATAATACCATAAAACACAATACTTAATCACACCCAATATATGTATTATTGTTTATATTAAAGATCACTCATAAATTAATAATATAATATATAAAAAAATCAAAACAAATAAGAAATGAAGACTCTTTAAAATAAACATTGAAGAAAGATGATGTTGTTGTTTTGGTTTAAAGTAACTAAATCCATGACCTCTTATTTCTTGTGATTTATGAGCATTTGTCACGCTCATTGGCAGAGAGAATACATTGTTAAAGTTTCTCCAGAAATAAAAAACACGCTGAGTTCATAAGTTTTGGCAGCCTAGGACTTCGAAATAATTTATGTAGGGTCTTACAAATTAATTAGCCTTAATGATGTCTTAGAAGGCAGTGGCGTATTTAGGGTTGTGGTCAATGTCTTCGTTTTGTTGTGTGAGGAATCTTTTGAACTCGTTGACACCATATGGTATTGTGAATTGGACTATAAAATTATACGATCTGTCGCTAGAGGAATTAATGTGATTTATACGAAAAAAGTTCAAAATCTCTATTCTATCATACATCAAGTTATGGTTAATCTGTTGCCAGTTATGTGCTGATAAGTCAGCTGAGTTTATTTTAAAAGTATCCAAGACTGTAAGATGTCCATTGAAGAATATTTGAATTCAAAACATTTGTCGGATTCTAAACCTTATGGTGAGTTCCCAACAATACAAGAATTTGAAAGAAATTTTAATCGCAAATGTGTTTTCTTAAATCCAACATTTGGAATCACAAAATGGATAACCCTGTACTATAGTTAAAGCTAGCTATTCGCGGAGCACTCTAAGCTGGCTGACCTCACTAATTACTGGACATGGCAAATTCAAGTATCACCTCAAAAAGATAACTCTTGCTGAGGAAGACACTTGCAGACTATATCTAGAAGAAAAGGAGACAGCGGTGCATATATTGTGCCAATGTCCAGCACTGGCAAGTAGGAGGAAGACTGTCTTGGGACACCATTGGGTTGGTGACGACTTGGCAGAAAACCTCAAGCTAAATGAGATGCTTGCATTAACAAAAGATGTCCAACGTCCCACCATATATATATAGTTAAAGCTATTGAAATTATATATGTATTGAATATGTAAGTTACTTATTGTAGCTCTTATCTGTTAGATTTTTAAAAGAAATATTATCAATAACTAAAATCATAAGTTTCGTAGTATTTTTGAGTCATTGATATCTTTTGAGTACAACAATATTTCATTGTTCTATGAATATTCCTCTTAAGTCTCGTTGGAAAATATAAAAATTGTACAAATAGAAAAATTCGTTTTTTTCAAAAGAACTTTAATATTGAAAAGATAAATATTTATCGCAAACATTCCATTCAATGGAATTCAAACTTTATTTGTTTTGTTCAAATGTTTTTAATGCTTTTATTTAAAGAGATTTAAAAAATATACATTAAATTTATTACTGTCCACAGTATCTTTAAGATATCGTTGATAAATGTAGCATTAATATAAAAATTGTGTAATGTTGAACTTATAAATCGTTGTGGAAGTAATTTTATACACATTAGCCCTAAAGGACTTCTGCTTACATGAGTTGTCAACATGTTGCACAATAAGTAAAGGACAAAAAAGTTGAGGATTTTTAAAAATTTTAAATTTAAACAAGCTTTCTCAGCAAAGTTTTAATGGATGCGCTGTGGCTCGATAGCAGGACCCACATACTGAACACACAAATATCTGTCATGAAAGCATGTAAGTACTGCAAAATATATGTTTTGTACAATATATCAAATATATAAATAAATATGAAATTTATGATAGCCGTAATATTGCAAAGATAAAAGCGCAAATAAATGTAAATATATACATATTATTGAATACATATAAATATATGAATTTATACATATACCCAGTCATATATGTAAGTCATATATACTGTACCGATTATGTACTCATATGTTATTATTTTTGCAACACTTTCAGTGTTGGCTTTTCGTTTTTTTTTTTAATATAACATTCCGACTATAAAATAACAATTTTAAAATTACTTAAATATTTCACTCAATAAACTTTTACTTACGTATTTTTTTCATGAGAATTTTTCCGGCCAAACGAGCCTCCACCTCTTGCTTGGGTATAAACTCCAATTTTGCTATCATGCCATTTCCCTCGAACGAACGTGGGGAAATGCGAAAAGTGGCTCCATCGAAAAGTGTCTCAGGCAGTTTTAGCTCCATATTGTGTGTCAATGCGAACTTGATACTCTTGCCATATAAGGCATTCGTAACCTCTTCGATTGGAGTTTCAGCAGCTGCGGGATATGAGATACATGAATCAGATTTTAATAAGTGTTATTTATGCAAATATCAATTACAATCTATTTATAAATTGCTATTTAGCTCGTTGCCTATTTATTTGCTTAATTGACTTAATACTTATTTGTAAATACCATATTGTGACCCAATGAATAATCCTAAAATACAGAAACACAAATACGAGTAAGACCTTTGCGGTTGAGAGACGAAAGTAATTTATGCCAGAGGCTGTTTTGTATTTC